GGTTTAGGGTTTAGGGGTTTGCCGTGGAATGGCGCATAAGCGGAAGTATCTAGTGATTGTGCAGTTTCGAGTGTATGGTAGTTTGACGGTTGCTGCTGGAGCCCGAAAGCGGTGGGCTCTTTTTTCTTTTCCCACCCCACGCCGTCTGAGGCGGCCAAACCACCCAAACCTATTCCTTTTAGGGTTTAGCTCTAAACTCATTCTGTGGCTTCCTCCTTTCTTTCAACTTGTCCATGCAGCAAGAGCAAGGCAAGGGTAGGGCAGGGAGGGCATGGTAGTCAGGGCAAGGAGGGCAGGGCACAGGGCAATGCGCGGAGTGTAGAAGTGCACGATATTCATGCTTGACCCTAATTCGCAACCATGTCAAATCCTCTTGCTGTAGCACGCATGTCAGCAGATTATTTTGCAAGCTTTTTTCATTTTCCGCCGATACCAACGAGCGTGGACAGCAACGCGAATGTCAGTGCACGACCATCGAAATATCGCGAAGATGATCAGTACATCACTCGGGAACGAGCTGATACCCATGCAGCGATTTCGTGTTATTATAAATTTCAAAGCATTCGAGCCAGGCCGAAACGAAGTTAGAAGCCATGAGACAAAAAGAAAGAACGCAAAAGCGCACCTGGCGGTCGAAGAAAAGGGCCGCTGCAGTGGCCGCGCTACGACTTCAGGAGGCCCGGTGGTAAGGCGACGAAAAGGAAGCCGGGCAAACCCATGGGCAGGACCTTGCTGCTTTCAAGAAGCAGTTGGCCAAGCTCTGGGACCGCGAGCCGGACGACCAGGCCCGTGCAGCTGAGTCAAAGCGTAGCAGAATCCATTTCTCCATCTTGTGTAGGAGGTGCAGGTGCACTACGCAGCGCACTGCGAGATGCGGCGACAAGAGTCGGTACAAACAACTGTTTTGTCAAGACATAGTCTGAGGCCTGGACGACCAACGCCTCGAACCCAGAGGCTTGCCGTAGAGAACCCTGTGAGAAGCTGCATAGTCCACCCCGATTTAGTGCGTGCAGCCTGGAGGGCCCAGCGGCTGACGGCCTTACCTCGCGACACCCGCAGAGCCGCGAAAGAAAGATTCCGCGAGGCGGTGGCGAACAACGCGACGACGACGGAGGAGCCTAGTAAGAGGAAATGGTAGCATGCATAGACTGAAAGCTCGGAAAGTGAGAGGCCAGCACGGGCATCGCCGCTCCGGAGGCTCTTCCGCAAAAGCGAAGCGGTGGGCAGGGTCAGTTTCCGGGTAGGTATGCCTGCGCCCGCACCTCGAGCTTGATGCAGAGGCAGCCGGGCCCTACGGGGTTTAGGGGTTTAGGGGTTTAGGGATTTAGGGGTTTAGGGTTTAGGGGTTTAGGGGTTTAGTGGTTTAGGGGTTTAGACTTAGGGTTTAGGGGTTTAGGGTGTAGGGTACTCCCATCTTCCCGCAAAGTTGAAGCCCCAGAACCTATTGCAGAAGCCTAAGTGCCAATATTATTCCTCGGAGTTCCTTAACAATGCACTATACAGGAGCTCAAAAGCAAATTTCTTATTAATTAAGGCCCTTGCATTAAGCATGAGGCTAAACCCCAACCCCAAGCCGTAAAGCCTAAACTTTGAGCCCTAGACACTGAAGGAAGCAAGCTAACCCTAAACCCGCAACTCTCAACCCTAACCCTGCGCGGCCTACACCCTAAACCCCAAAACTTCAACTCGGAACCCTGAAGAAAGGTTCGTGTGGTTCTGGGCGGGGCATGGCGTGAACGTGCCGGATTTCAATGGCGACGAAAAGGATGGCTTTGACCAGGCTTCTTTTTTTGGAGAGTATTTGGGTTTCAGTTTAGGGTTTGAGTCGGTTTGAGTTTGGGGTTTTAGGGTTTGGGGTTTTGGGTTTTTGAAGCTTGGGATTCACGGCCTTAGGGCCTCAGGGTTCCAGTAGGTGGTTCAGAGTTTTGGCGTGTCGGGCTGTGGGGTTTGCAGGGCTTTGGGATAAAGGGTGATTGGGGTTCAGGGTTTTGGCGGCTCAGGGCCAGGGATTACGGGTATTTGGGGTTTAGGGCTTAAGGGCTTTGTGGCTTGGAGGTTCTAGGGGTTGAAGTTTAGGGATTTTGATTGGGAATTGAAGCGGCAGATGACGATGGTTGTCATCACTCAGTTCACCTCTTTGGGCGGGGGATGGGTGGGTAGGGCTGCCGGGGGTGATTGTGGTATAGTGGGTCGTGTACAGGGTTTTGCGGGGTCTTAAGACCGACTTTCGATGTTTGCAAAGCAGAACTGCGGCATGCAGGGCATGTAGCCTTTACCCATAGGCTCCAAAGTAGTTCCTTTTGGGGGATACGTTATAGGATCCTAAATATAAACCCCCAAAAGGGAACGGTTTCTTTGTGCCCCCGCTGTTGGCCTGGAGGTCTCAGGCTTCGCACGGCTTGCGTGTTTTATTTGGGGCCCACATGGGCAGTCTTTTCGGGTATTCCAGTGCGAGAATCGCTTGCAGGAATTAGTCCATGGTGAGAAAGAAAGAACAGCAATCCCAAGCACCTCAACTTCATACTGACCCACCTTTGCTGCCACTCCACCATGAACTGAAATCATGCTTTAAACAATCTGCAAATGATGTTTGATTTCTCAACCCCCAACCCTAAACGCTAAGCCCCGCAACGCACCACTTCTGATCTCCCTGTGTAACTATCTCGAAGTCTTGTCTGCTGCTGCCTCTGCATGTTTATCATTCTATTCACGAGGGTTTGTCGGAACCCTAACCCGCAAACAACGGCCATGGAGGCTGCACAACGGTATTGGCACAAAACGCCGCAATTTAGAACATCGTCCATTCCCTGGACCCAGTCTTTGCATACAGATTTTTCAATCTTCGTGCGATGTCATGCCTTGTGATCCAGTTCAAAGCACCGTTGGCTGGCTCTGCAAGATGACCCTTAGCTCTCCCAGCCCAACTCCTTTAAAACAGAAGCACCTACACTGAGAAATCGTGCGCCCGGATGCCAAAGCCTAACGTCCCCAAATGCAAGGCCCTGAAGCTTTCATTTCATGGCAACGCTGGCCTAATTGCTGTAGACTCTGTAGATGGCAGCGGAAACTCTCGATTCATGTGTGTGTATATATCTAAACAAAAGGATGAATATATATATATATACATACACACACACACATATATACAAATGTATGTATGTATGTATGTATGTATGCATGTATGTATCTATGTATGTATTTACGTATTTATATTTGTACAAACAAGCAAACTAATTAACTAATATATGTGTATATACATATGTATGTATGTATGTATGTATGTATGTACATTTATATACTTATATTTATATTTGTATTTACATTTATATTTATGTTTATAATTATATTTTTGTTTCTATCTATATGTATGTATATATAATATAATCTAATATAATCTAA